AAAATGAATGTGTGATCGTGACTCGGACGTGCAACCCTGAAATATGAAAAAATTACAAATTAGGTCGAAAATTGTTTTTGATGTTGATGCGATCGCAAAACCGAACAAAAAGACGAAATCGCAAGAAATCAAACAGGATATGGGAAACATTACAACAAGCTTTTGCATTTTTCTTGTGAGATTGGAAACACAGTCATATGTGTTCGCTTTTATTAACCAAAAGTATAATCCGAGGTGAGTCTTCTGTACATTTTACGTATCCCCTAAAATAAAAATCTTGAAGATCTCACATACTCCCATAGAAAAAAAATATAGGGAAAACTTTCTCAAGAGTTTGAAGAATGACTAAGACCATTGGCTTTAAATGAAAGCTTTTGAGAATGGTATTTATCAAGAATAGGGCGTTTTGTTGCTTCTAGGCCATCTCCTGAAAATGCTTATAGTTAAGGTGTACCCCTTCTAAGAAAAAAAATTATCCACCTTGAGGGTAGAAATTGAATTGCGCTTCTGTTTTTTGCTCAAAATTGAAAAAATTCAGAAGTTTTTATCAAGTTTCTTGATGCTTTACACTTTTTCAACTGTCTATTGTCTGTAATCAGCTGTTAAAAATCGATTATCAACAGAAGCGCTTTGCAGGCAACAAAAATCAAACTGTTTCAAACAAAATGAAAATATTTTTTTGAAACATTTCCGTTTTTCTTGTCTTTTTTTCAATGAGAACTATAATCATTTAAAACAATGACTAAGAGTTATAACTTAGCTTTTAGTTTCTCTTTTTGAATTTGAAGGTGACCCAAACTTGTTTTCCATAGATTTTTTTACTTGATCCTTCTGTGGTACTTGCATTACAAAAGGCTTTTCTCGTTTATCTGATTTTTTAGCGCTTCCAAGACCCAGGAAGAGAGAAGGGGAGCCAAGTGAAAGAGAAAAGAAAACTTCAAGTTCTCCTGCTTCCTACAGAAAAGAAAACAAATAATAATTTTTTCTCAAGTTGAACTGTAAAATCATCTTACTGTAAAAAATAATTTTGATGTTTATAAGTAAAATTCTTTGTTTAATTATAAAAACACATTATTTCGAAGCCATGCAAATCCTTTAATGAAAAAGTTATCTTTCAAAGGTGAAATGAAAAACAATTAATTGTTCTTAACTAAATCCTTTAGAGTCAAAAATTATCTTTCAAAGGTGAAATGAAAAACAATTAATTGTTCTTAACTAAATTGAATCAATTATGGTGCTTTTATTGTCCCAAATAATTACTTGTTGACTTGCGATCAAAATTTTAAATGAATGATACATTAATTGACTTTTGAATACAGTTCAATTCTGATATCCAAACCAAATTAAACCTTGCTTAACTGCTTGTCGAATTTTGAAAATTTAAATTTCCAAATAGTTTTTTTTGAGTCATAGGGCAAAGTACAAAAAGCCTAAAACTACAAAGAAAAACCCGGTTAGGTGCAAAAAAGAACTGTTATATGTCGTCTGAATGTGGATTTAATCACAAAAAAAATAATGCAATCTCAAAATGATTAAAACGCTTAGAAACCAAGTTTTGAAAAAATCATCCTATCACCCAGAAAAAAAATATTCAGTTTTCACAATTATTCAAAAACATTCAAAATTAAATTTTTCTGGCAGGAAAAAATTGGAAATTTTTTTATCCATTAACTTTTGCTAAGAACTAAAACAGATGACATCACAGTTATATCATTTCAATGCTTGCCATGCATATATCAAGTTTTTAGCGTAGAGTCTGCTAAAGTACCTGACACAGAGAAAGCGAAAACTTTTAGATTTCATTGGTTGTCTTGTGAGTGTGGAAAAACTGCAATAATCAAAATAGAAAAATTTGCACTTAAAGCTGTTTTCAGCTCAAGAGTTTCGAATTGTCCCGTTGCTTGATATGTCACACATACTTCACTCTGATATGCTCTAAGACACAGCTGAAAAAATCAAAAAGTCCAAGCTTAAGAATTATCAGAATGTTGGGGGAAAAATTGCAAATCTGCGCTGTATGCTTGTGCTATAAAGAAAATGTGTTTAAATTTCATTTTTTTACTGGTACAATAAATTTTAAAAACTTGCAAACTGAAAAGGCTAAGAAATCTGAATTTTTTTTCCAACTAAGTCATTGCAATCAAATGGCTTGTAATAGAAGAAAAAAAAAGGAAGACTGAAAAATTTGTTATTCAACAAACGTCACTATTAAAATCTATTAACCTAAAATCTAAAAACCACTCTATTAAAGTATGGAACAGTTAATAAATCGCTGACTTTTTTATATTACCATATTTGACAAAAACTTTTTTATCATCTGGAAACTTTATTCACAAAAGAATAAACGCAATCTCAAAATGATTAAAACGCTTATAAACATGAAGTTTTGAAAAAAATCATCCTTAGATCTATCAACCAGTAAAAGAAATGTTCGGTTTCTTCACAATTACTCAACAATTAATCAAAAACATTCAGAAGGACTTTTTGTATGTTTTTGAGCTCAAAGGTGTGACCTGCTCACCAGTTTTATGTTTATCTGAAATAACAAAACTAGAAGGTTGGTGTGCAATTAGCAGAATTCTATCCAGCCAGAATCTTGAAAAAAAACGAAAAGCAAAGTTTTATCTTACATTGTTTTTTTTTTCAAATTGCTTAGAACCGAAACAAAAGTCTTACATTTTGACAGTAAAATTAAAATCGTCATATTTGGCAATAGTTTCAGACTTGAACGATTTTTTTGCTGTCAATTTTTTGTTCATTCTTCAAATTTTAAATATCTAGAAGACGCTAGCATGATTTTCGAGGTTTAATTTCACTTGATTAAGCTAAGTGTTGGCTAGTGTTTTGAGTTAAGTTTAAAGCTATCTATTATAAGCTTTTCACAAGCCTTCTCGCTCGCATTATTGTCAAAATTAGACGATAAAACAAAAACTCTAATCGATTTTTCTCGGCCCTGGGAAAATTTTTTAAACTTTTTTAAAATTTTGTTTGAATCAAGGCTAAAACTAATTTACTGTAATATATAGTTCCACTATGATATATAGTTGATGACTACTTGTAGTACTTGACTTTTGTAGTAAAAAACACTGAAACACTCGAGTACGAAATGGATGAAAAAGAACCCTCCCCCTCAGCAATTCCAGCTTTGTCCTCTCTTTGACAATACTTGTTACGACATCTGATTTGGGCTAACCCACCTAAAAACTAATTTTGAGGACAAAAAGTGGACCAAAAGTGCAATTTTGGTCAAAATTTTCCAAAATGTACCTGAAAACGTCGTTTTTTTTACCTGTTTTTTTTTCGAATTTTTGCATTCAAGTCAAAATATCTGCTACAACTTTACGAGGCCAACCTGTACATTCTGTGCATCGTAAACCGAATCCGCAACAGGCCACAATCAGACTTGTCGCGGAATCCTTTTCTTTGAGCTTCTTTGCTGTTTTGGAATCCACACACAAATACTTAAACATTGTACCGCTCAAAATCGCTCCAAAAATAGGCAAATTTGCGGATTACGCAGCTGTTTTTGCCGAATCCAGAACAGTTTGTGGAATCCAAAAGCAAATCATAAGACGTTTGTATAGTTACATTGAGCTGTTGGGGAAAACGCAACTGTAAGCAGAATCCGCAAAGTTTAAGTGGAATCCCCAAATTGTAAGTGGAATCCTCATTTTATTTGCGAATTCCACTTATGTTTACGGATTCCATTTACATTTGCGCAATCCACTTACATTTTGTGGAATCTAGATACAGTTGCTGAATCCAGAACAACTAGCTATATTTGCTTGTTGCGAAATCCGCAACAAAATAAATGTGCCGAAATACTTTACGTTACAGTTATTTGTACTCGGAATCCACAAAACATTTGTCAGTGGAATCCACTTACTTTTTGGAACATGTTTAAAAATTTGTCTCTAGAACCCAGGAACATACAGAGACAAAATTGTGCGCCTATCCAGTGCACAGTTTGGCCTCGTAATGAAAGTCATTGTAGAGTTTTCTTATAGCTCGCAAAAAAAATTGATTTACTCTATCCACAGAAATTTTCCAGTTTCAAACATTGATTTGAAAATCAGCCAGCCTCAAGAAAACCTTAGATCCGCGCCTGTTATGATTCGAAAATTATATTTTCATTTTGCTTTTTTTAAGTTTCGTCAATTTTTTTAGTTAAAAGCTTTTAATTTCAATAGACATTAAATTGTTGAATTCAAGGCTTTTTCTAAAAACTAAAAAAACGTCGAAAGAAATATTTGGCGTAGCAGTCTGCAACTTTTGTACATAGCAGCGCTATTCGACCCTGTTGCGAATAATTTGTTCTGAAACACACATATGAAAACAAAAAAACGTTAAAGGTTGCTTAATTTCTTTCTACAAATAGCTACTAACACCAACTAAAAATCAAACTATATTTGAACACATATTTGTTTGCTACACAGGAAGATTTTGATTTCACGACATTCACGGTTTATCACCACCAATATTTCAATACAATTACACTAACACAAATGAATAACTAACTATAATAATTCATGAGACGCGGATCTAGGACTAACGACTTCTGCTGTGATCGATAGATATTTGCAATTTTTTGTCAACCTTTTCGCTACTATTAAGAAGTGTGTTGTATCAGCTTTTATTGAAAAAAAATCTTTTCAATATTATGTTTTGCCCAACAATACTGTCTGAACTTTGGGAAGTTTTGAAGTTGTAATGCGTTTTCGGTCGAAAATTTAATTTAATAACTCATCCTAAATCCGCTACTGCGCATTTGTCAGTTTTAACGATTCATTTTTTTTTCAATTTGTCGATCTTGTTATTAATTATTAGATAATTATTAACATTGGATGAAATGAAATATTTCTTAAAATTCAGGCGACAAATCTTCTATAATTATTTCTGCAAAAATATTCACTGTATATTTTTTAAGGCTTCATGATTGAAGACACCGAAACATTCTGGATTGTAGAAAAAACATTTTAGTATTTTTTTAATGGATTTATTGATTGATGCTGGATTCAACGCCTGAATTTTTCATAAATGTAACATCAATTTTTTATTTGTCATTCAATTAAGTTGTTTAATCATTTAAAAAGCCCCAACGTTTTGAGAGAGGTTTGCTTTTGTTTCACTTCCATCGACACGCAGAAACTGTTTCGCCTCGGGCCCGATTTGGACTTCGGGTTGAGTGCCGCGGAGGGACACTTCAAACTACTTTTGTGCAGATCGTCCGATTCAGAAACTGGCTTGAGAAGGGATGCGTCATTGTTGTGTCGAGAAAAAGAGCTGGATCTGAATCGGTTGCCCCCCGCCGGGTTCTCTGCTGACGAGGATGCTGCTTGGAGAAGAACCATCGGTTGTTTCTCGTCCAAAACTGTGGTCTCCTGCACATATATGCTGGGGCTGACAATTGATGACTTGCTGAAATAAAATCCCATACACTTGCAAGAATAGACAGCGATGTTTCAGATAAACTTTGTCGAAATTAAGTCATCAAATAATACCATTTTAATGCTTGGTCTAGGTACTGAAAACTTTGACCCAGCAAAAAACTTTGCGTTAGTGTTTTTTTCCAACACTGATATTTGTTTTATAGCTATGATTTAATGATCACTAAAGGCAAACTTTAATACAAAATACAAACAGAAGTTACAACCCTTGCAATTGTTTCTTGTTGTTATGCGTTTTTTGTGCCTACTATGCAAAGAGGAGCCGAAAATTTCTGGGTACAATATTGATGGCCTTCTTTCAAAACTAAGAACCTAGAATTTCATATCTTTTTTTAATGCTTTGCACCGTATTCGTTCGCTTTTACTTGCTCCAAATTAGACTGAAAAATAAACTTTCAAAACGGTTTTGCTCCTCTGGAAGATAACTATTTTTCAATTATATAAGTATCAATTGAATCAAAACTGTAAGCTCCATCTTCATTGACTCAGCCCCATCTATAGTAAATTTATTGAGGTACCTGATTTTGCGTACGAAAAAAAAACAACTGGCGGTTGCTGAGCATTACAGAACTAGACCAATAGAACGAACGAAAACTAAAGGCAACGTTCCTTCCTTGTTCATGTTCAGAGCCAAAAAAAACTAAACCACACTTGAAAGAAAGATTATTTCCCACTTCGAAACGACGAAAATAAAAAACCACCACAATTTATCTGCAAGAGAAAGCAAAAGAAAAGGACCAAAAAATGATCTGTGCATTTATTTAGGGAGAACCTGGTTAAAAAATGCATGCTATTCTATGACTAATTTTGCGTTGTCAAATATTCAAGAAACTCGAGTGAGAATCGAACAAATGACCTAACGATTGGGAGTCGAACATCTCCGCTATTTCACAACAGCATATATAATCAAGGAACGGAGTAAGGAAAACTGACGCCACTAACAGCCCCTCCCCCCTCATTGATTCGACCTTTTTTTCATCAATGAATGGGTCTCTACTTTGGTACCACTTTACGAGATCTGATTTCTGCCAATCGAGCCGAAAGATTTTCGAAGTGCGCAAAAATATCATATTAACTTTGAGGGGTCAAAGCGTGCGGAATTCGGTCGAACTAAAGAGCACTTTTGATCTATTTCTTTCAATATTTTTCTCTATAGCACTTTCTATATTTTTCAAAAATTTGCCTTCGGGTCTCAATCTTTTGCTGAAAAAATTCATTATTGATTTGAGATAAATCTCGAAAAGAAAATTGGGTCGACCTAAAAATAGATATTTTGAAAATCTGTCCCTCGAGAAAACCTAAGATTCGCGCCTGGGAGCGACAAGGTTAAGAAGTTTCTCAGAAAGTTTGTAAGGGCTTTAACTGGCTGCATTTTTTCAAATAAAAATTTGATTTTGTCCGTCTTTTGTTTATATTTTTATTTGAAAAAATGCATATTAAATAGATATATGTTTCGATTCCGTTTGAGACAGGGGCGGGGGGGGGGGCTGGTTTAGGAGAGCTCGGAAAATCAATTTGGTCGACCTATAAAAAAGGTCAAACTTTTCGAAAATTTTTTGAAAATCCGCCCCCCCCCCCTCCAGAAAATCCTAGATCGGCCTCTGGTTTGAGATGAATGAGGCTTAAGTAATGATTTCTAACCTTGCCTGAAGTGGTTTGTGTTGATTAGTCTTTTGTTCATCCGCTCCTTTATACACTTTCATTGTTGACAGGAGACTGAAAAACAACAAAAGACACTTAGTTTTTTTACAAGTTGAAAGTTATTTCATTTTATTATGATTGTTTTTTATTATTATTAAGTAAGATATTTTATCATTTTTTACTCTCGCAAAAATTCTAGATCTGCTCCCGACTTGATGGTTGATAAGGCATACATAAATATGAACATAGTATGGCCAGATTTAACACGGAAAATTTACATCAAGTGAGATACATTGGACAATGTTCTCACATTATCACCGTCTTCTTAAAGCAAAATGTCATTCAAAAATTGGAAGTATATTTGTGTTTTTTTTCCGAAAAGAAATCATTTGTATTACAACAATGGCATGTTTTTCTCCGTCGTTTTCTTAGGCTATGTTTTAAATGGATGCTGAAAAACAGAACTGTTTTATAAATTTAGACCATCATAATTTAAATAGGTGATTGTTTGAACTTGACTGACCTTGGCCTTCTGTGACCTGAATGAGAAGAGGAGGCAGGTCCCCCCATGGAGTTCCTCTTGCCCACCTTCTGTCTCTGGGCGGGAGAGTTGTTCATTAAATCATCCATTAGAGACTCCATCTCTCTATCATTGATAATCCCAGATAATCACTTTGTACTCTGCACAGAGATTTAACAGCTAAAACTCGAGTTGATGAAAATGTTATTTAAACATACTTCATATCATAATGAAGCTTTCATATCCTAAATATGAAACGTTTTTTTTGTACCACAGTAGCCCAATAGACTCATCTAAAATTTAACTCTAACCCAACTCGAATAACCATGGAAATTTTTGGAGCTGGCAAGCTTTATGAAACGATTTAAATTAAATCGTCCAAATAAATTCCAATCAAATCAGGTGTCTTAAGAATATAAAAAAGGTTTGAATTTGAATGGATTTAGGTAGCTATTTAATTCCATCCAATTTTCATCAAAATCAATTAAAGTCAAAATTTGGAGTTTCAGAAAGATCATTTTTGTAGCCTCAGGCAATTTTCTCAATAAATCTCTTGTTAACTTGGCTCCCGATTTTGCGAAAAAAAAAGGAATCAAAAAATTTATTCCCATCAGTGTAGCAGTGTTATGAAGCATTTTGAGGAAAGTTTATTCAATGCAAACTAATAGTTTCAAGTGATCCCTAGACAAGTCTTACATCTAAGGGTTTTTCGGTGATAATAAAAAATTTTAAGTGAGCCTTCTTCAATTAACTTTAAGGATAACAAGATTGCTCGTATCAGGGCGAAGTTTTGAAAATTCCGACTGCCTTTTAAGGTCTATAGAGCACCAAGAACATGAAAAATTTAAATGTAATAAAATATAATTAAATTTTTTTTTAATTGAGATTTTTTTGTAAAAACATCACCCCACACGCCATATTAAGTACAAAGTGAAGGATTTTGCTCCTATTAACATATCAATTATGACATATAAGCTTCCTTGAGTCAATTTGGAACGATTTCTGAAACGGATTAAATCTTGCTTACGCAATAATAGCTCGAAAATATCGCGCGTTAATTGTGCCAAGTTGGTCAAAATGGCAATCTTTAAACCCCCATGACTGTACGAATCACATGTGAATTATTTTTTCAAATTTAAGCTCAAGAACAATAGTTCTCGATTGATATAAAAAATTCTGTCAAAAATGGCTAGTTAAAAAGTCGAAGTTTGTCTGAAGAAAAAAACCCACCCCGAGCACAAATATTCCGTTACTTTTGTTACAAAAGTCGGAACAATAACTTTTTTTGCACAGCTAAGCAAAACAATCGTCAAAAAATCGATGAACTCAAATTGAAACAATTATTAGTGCTGCGAAAAAATTTCTTTTTTTTATAACTTTTTTTTCAGACCAAACATTAGCACAAAAACTAACTGAAAGGCATACATTGAAATTATTAATTACAATTTGTATAAAATATTTATAAGAAGATGGATTAAATTCAATTTAAGTCAAATGACATTGATTTAAATTAATTTAAGTCAATTTTCATTGATTCAAATCAAAATAAAATTTCTCAAAAACAAAGGTATATGCCCCAAGAAAAAAATTGATTTTGAATAAATTAGAAATAAATTGATTTAGAATCTTATATGAGTTTTTATGGTTTTAGAATATTTGTGTTCATTTTTCTGAAGACTTTTTTTTCAGTTTTCAAATTCATTTTTTTCTGAAGACTTTTTGTTCCGACTTTCGAAGATAATGGAATATTTATGCTTGGTGTGGTTTTTTTCAGTCAATTTTCGCCGATCGAAATAATAGTTTTCAACTCAAATTTTTTATACCCCATTGAAGTTATCGACTTCTTGAATTCAAATTCGAAAAGATTTTTTACCTTCAATTTTTTTTTGTAAAGTTTTTGGGGTTTGAAAACTTCCTATTGGCGATGTTCTGGACTAAATTATGCGCGCGAAATTATGCGCGCTTTATTAATAATGCTGAGAGCGTAACGCGAAATATTTATGCGTGATGAATTATCCCGCATAACAAAATCGTTCTAAATTGAATTGAGGCTAGCACATTGGTCGTATTATTTTTGTACGACTCAAATTTTTACATTTTGATATTGTGCAAAATGTATAGGTTTTCAAAATGTTCTTTTCCCAAAAACTATTCGATATGAATTAAGGGGACAGTTGGAACATTCAGGTCTTTGACCTGATATACGAGCAGTTTTGTTTTAGTGTGGGATCCTTTCTTGGAAAATCAGATAACTATTTCAAACACAAAGAGTTTAAATCTGACTTTTGCTTAGCAAGTAAACTAGTATATTCCATATAAAATATATAAATTGCGGGATTTAGAGAGGCATACACCTTTTTTTTAAATATTAGAGACAAACGCGTTTTGGCCGGTTCAGAGAATTCTACGAAATTTTTTGCTGAATTTCGTAATTGAACAGCTGAAATTTATTCATGTTCAATTAAAAATCAGCGCGCTATATTGAGGAATCCAATTTTAATTTTGAGCCTATAAGTTTTGTGGAATCCAATTTCAATTTTGAGCCTATAAGTCTAAACAATCAAAGAGAGCAGGTGGTTTTTGCGGCACAAAGTACCGGTCTTTTCTGAAAACTCAAACATGTTTCGTTAACGATGTGTATATTTAGCGGAAAGTTGTTGACCAAAAATTTCCTCAGCAAACCATTATCGTTCCCTATTATTTAATAACTAGAAACACTTTTACAATCAAGGGGTTTAAATATGATGGAAGACATATCAACAGAAACCAGCAAGATTCTACTTGGTCACAAAATTTAAAGAAAATGCTATATCGCGAAAATATTGTGCTTTTACTGTTCGTTCATGCACATTATTTTACAAACAGCTGCTCGAAACCGCTGCAAGCCATTTAATTTTAAACTCAAAAACTGTCTTAGGGAGCCTGAACATATTTCAATTCGTAGATCTTCTCAAGATTCGCAAAAAAATGAAGACTTGCTTTGATTTGGATGATTCAGATTTTTGCCGAACCGTTTTTGTAATTTCGACACAACAAAACGAATCAAAAACGCGTATTTCTAGATAAAACTTAAAGGAAAAATAACTTCGGCTCACAAACCAGTTGGTTTGGTAAGTCCTGCATTTCGGACGATGAGTAACTTTTAATATCGATTCATTTCTGAGAGAAGGGCTCGTTAGTCCGCTAATTATTTATATACTGAAAAAAAAACAATCAGGTAAATTTGGCTTCCAATAAAAGTTTGTTGATTGGCGCAGTAACATTTTTATTGAAGAAGAATTATCAAGTCTTTTAGCAAACTTATATGCCTTTTCCTGACCTTGTTTTTCCTGACCTTGAAAGCTTAAAAATCTGTTTTAAATCAGAAATTTCTCAAGAAATTAGATTCATACGGATTTTGTATTCACGTTCGTAAAATAGCTGCGAATATATTAGTTGACCCAAAACACTGTGTAAAAATTGTGATTCAAAAGTTTGCTGGGCTCCTGGAAATCATAGAGTACCACGAGGTAGAGAGCTCGCTCCGATAGTGGTATTATTGTTTGTTAATAGTTTCAGGATTAAATTTGGAAATCATAATCAAACCGTTCAGCTCGCCGTTGATACACTTTAACTTCCGCGGAAAAGCACTGGCCTATTCGAAGTCAAACACACAGCATACATTGATATCTATATTGCAAATTTTATCGGCAAATATATTTAACAACTTAAATTGTCATTTATCTAGCGTTCTTGTAAATGAAATCCGTAGTTTTCTTCCAACCTTGTGTAGTAGAATTTTTTGAGCATAATAAAACAGATAAATGTTGGCCATATGAAGCTGCAAAAAACTGGAGTGTACAAGTTTGCTTCATGGAAAGAAATTTTGAAAGATGAGGTGGCCCGATTTTGAAGCACAGCTGGAGAACTTTCTTTTGCTAAATAGTTTTGATTTGTTTAAAATTATATACTTATCAAAAAAAAACGAGAGAGAAATGCCTACTTTGTATGCTTAGTATGTCCTTATTCGAATCAGTATGTCCAGTGTAAGAGTGATTTGTCTTTTATACTTGCCTTTGCTTTGCTCCTTTGGGTTGTTATAGAGTTCTAGTTTAATCATAAGCTGTAATTTTATCTCATAATCTTGAAAACTTAAGTTCTTGAAAAATCCGACTATTCTATTCTATCGATCACAAGCTTTTTGGTTCAAAAAAATCTGATATAGTTTTCAAAAATGAGACAATTTTTCTTTCACTAGATTTTTTTCCACCACTAGATAAGAAAACTATCAAGTGGTACATTGTTCTTCTAGCGTAGCTTTAATAGCAAGTTTCTTGCCTAATTTCATCTTGAAAGTTTTTAGTTTGCCGGTTACGCTTCAATTAATCGCAACAATTGCTCGTTAACTATCACAATTTGAATCTAATAGCCATCAAAGGCGCTCCAATTTTAAGCCATGATATACTGTTGCAAAAAAGAGATAACAAGCAACATTTTTAAATATAGTTGAACTCAAAGCAACAGTATATTTCAGATGGTCTAGCAAACGACACCCCAAGCATAAATATTCCAATTTTTGCTCAATACTCAGAACAAAAAAGCAGACTGACAGTAGACTAGTGCGCTCGCAAGATTTATATTGTAATGGAATCGTTTCCGGTTTGCTTTGAGATACCAAGTGGCTGACCAAATCATACAATTTCTATGAGTGAATGATAAATAATTTTCCACACATGAATATGGTATGACAGGCATTTTTTCCATTAATCAAACATTTTAATTTTCTTTGAAATATTGCTATAAATTTTGGTGATTTTTCCAAAACATGATAACCAAGATTTTCTGATATTACGAATCCCATTGTTTAAAGAAGACTCGACTCACAGATAATCAAGTAAATTATTTAGATGAGATTTTGATTCATAACTCAGTCAGAATTATAAAGAAAGAAAAAATAAATTAACGTTACTCAGCCTGGACAATTTATTTAAAATTCAGCCTGGACTAATTTTGCGAAAAATTTTTTGAATGCAACAATTTTTTCCAAAAACAATTGTTTTAACATAAATGATGCGTGACAAGAAAAACTTCAAATTTCTATGATATTGAGTTTTTCTGCAAATCTTGTTGAAGCGATGTATGATCTGCTTTTTATACTAATTGCAAAGATAGAACTCTATGATGAACATTTTTTTCATGCA